CTTTTTCAGGAGGCAACTGGACTTTTTTATGGTTTTTTTTCTTTGAAAACATTTTGCTTCTCATCCAAGAAGCTTCTTCAGCTCTGACTGGATAGTGGAAATGGAAGGATTTATAGTCCTTGCAGACAGCTGGTGACCCTGAGGACACAGATAAGCTTCCAACTGGCCTTAACGACCCTCTAAAAGGATGCGAATGACCAGCTGTCTGCAAGGAATATAAATCCTTCCATTCCCCACATCCAACAGAGCTGAAGAAGCTTCGTGGATCAGAAGTGAAATGTCTTCAAAGGGAAAAAAAGAAACAAGAAAGTCCAGTTGCCTCCTGAAAAAGCAAGTTTGGGTTTCCCAAACAAGATCAACCCACCAGGCAAAATTAAATCCACAACACTACAGGGCTCACGAGGCAAAAAAAAATCCAGAGTTCACAAGACACAATCCAAGTCAAGGGGATCCATCCAAAGCATGGCAAGGATCACAATGACCAGGAAAAACACAGTTAGGAAATATATATGTTGTGTCCAGCCTCTGTCTGCTGTTCTAAAGAGCCAGCTTCTGGCACAGCCCATCAAGAAGGATGAGGCTTCCTCCTTTCGAGCAATCTGGCTGACGTGCTCTGCTCCTGCCTTTTCTCTGCCCTACGTGTTCTTGGATCAGGTGAAGGAGACAGTTCCTCCTCCTCATCCCTGACTGGCTGCAGCTGCATGCTTTCCCCACCTGAAGCCTCAGGGCTATCTTGCCTCAGCAGTGCTTCAGCCAAAATCACTCTCCGGCGGTTGCTTGGAGCCACTGACCAACTTCCCTCCAGACATGCCTGAAAATGGTTCACCCCCTTCCAAACTGACACCTGGAGAGATATCTGGGGAAACATCCATGAGAGTTATCACACCTATTTATTTCTATTTAGCATACGGCATACAATGTCAGGGAAATTTACACATGCTAGACACAATGCAGTCCTGGAAGCCTAAATTGCTAGTTCGTTCTGTTTGGCGCTTGCACAACTAACCTTGGTTCCAAAACCAAGAGAATTTTGGAAGGAAAATTATGTAAAGGGATTTAAGACTCTTGTCTGTCTGACAACAGAGTCATTTTCCAAAAGCTGAATGGAATGGGGGCTAAATCAGAGAGAAGAGAGTAACAGACAAATCGAATCTGAAAAATGAGCCAGATTACCTTGGGGTGTGTGAAGAAAATAGTTCAGATAAAGTTACCTCAATACATTTCTTTGCCCAGCAGAAGTCCCCTGCAACGTCCTTCTTGATGACACAGCCAGAGTGGAGCACATGCAGCCTATTTGTGCTTCTTGGTGCACGCACACCAAGAATGCACACAGATACAACATGAAGGAAGACCCAGAACAGGTGTACACAATATTGCTCACATTATCCCAATTAGACCATCTCACACACAAATACTTAGAGACAACACCCAGGTGCACATCCTGATTCATCTCTGAGAAGGAAAGTACCAGAGGTGGTGGTCAACAGGTTCTGACCAGTTCTGGAGAACCGGTAGCGGAAATATTGAGTAGTTGAGGAGAACTGGCAAATACCACCTCTGACTGGCCCCGCCCCCATCTATTCTCTGCCTCCTGAGTCCCAGCTGATCGGCTGGGTCTCCTTTTGTTGCCTTGCACAGGAGAACGGAGCTGGAAAGCAGGTTAGTGGGGTTGGTAAGGAATTGAGATTTTATGGTATCCTTCCCTTGCCATGCCCACCAAGCCATGCCACACTCACCAAGCCATGCCTACAGAACCAGTAGTAAAAAAATTTGAATCCCACCACTGGAAAGTACCCATATATTTCTAGAGATTCATTACATTGCTTTATGATCTAGAACAGGGGTGTCAAACTCAAGGCCCCATGGGGAGCTTAAATCTCAGCCACGGGACCACTCTGGAAGCAGTGAAGGACCAACCTGCAGTGCCTCTGCCAGAAAAAAAATTGAGCTTGGGAGGGCTGCATGTGGCCTTCTCTGGGCTCCGTTTTCAACCACGATGGCCTGCAACCCTCTGCCAGCAAAAATGGACTCCCCGGGCTCCATTTTCATTGGCAAAGGGCTGCAGGAGGGTGTTGCGGCCAAAAACGGAGCCTGGGTGGCAGTGGTGGGATTCAAAAAAAAATTTCTACCGGTTCTGTGGGCATGGCTTGGTGGGTGTGGCAAGGGAAGGATACTGTAAAATCCCCATTTCCTCCCCACCCCACTAACCTGCTTTCCAGCTCCGTTCTCTTGTGCAGGGCAACCAAAGAAAACCCAGCCAATCAGCTGGGACTTGGGAGGCGGAGAATAGATGGGGGCGGGGCCAGTCCGAGGTGGTATTTTCTGGTTCTCCGAACTACTCAAAATGTCCACTACCGGTTCTCCAGAACTGGTCACAACCTGCTGGATATCACCTCTGCCGGAAGGGCCATGCGTGGCCTTCCTGGGCTCCATTTTGGCTGGCAGAGGCTGCAGGAGGCCGTTGCAGCCGAAAATGGAGCCTCAGTGAGTGACATTGAGCTGACCATGCCCACCTCAGCCACACCCGAGGTCAAACACAATCTTGATGCGGCCCTCAATGAAATCGAGTTTGACACCCCTTATCTAGAAAGAAATGCCTACAGCTCCTATGGCCCCTGTTGGTGAAGGGTTTGGGGAGGAATTCCAGAAGCCATGCTCTATGAAGGCTTTTCCTGCCTTGTTATGGACCGTAACCCACCATGAATTCTTTCAGATAATAATTTGGTGATGAATATTTCAAACCAACAAGTCAGTGATAAATTTCCCCAGTGGAGCTAGTCTAAATCCACTGGGATGGACAGACTGAGCTGAGAAGTTGTCCCAGTGAAAACAAGAATGAGTTGAGAATGAGTCCTGCAGTAATTCTTCGTCACCATTTTTTTCCCCTTCTATAAATGGTCTTCTACAATCACCGAGGCATCCCATTTATTTCATTGGAACGGTAACAATTTCTTTTTAAAAACAAATAGGTGGTAAGAATACGTGAATGAGGAGTGTGAACCAAAAAGGATGATGAAAAACAAGAATCAACATTCGAACAAACCTGATGGTTTGTTTCAGGGACTCGTCAAACTACAGGTTCCTAGACAAGGCCTGGCAGTTTTAAATTCTGAATAGTGTTTGCAATTTGCTGTCCTAATATTGCAAAACTCTGCAAACAGGCAAGGCAGATGAGTTGGTGATAAGAACATAAATACCCAGATAAGTTAACTTAGAGAAGAAATCTGGTAGGGTTTCTGTTGAGCAATATTAGTCATTGACTCGGCTTGTTTTTACGTAGCAAAGGAACAGGGAAAAAAGAAGGAATGTAATTAGTGGAGCTATTTTATTTTTAATTAAAACTATAAATAAATGTTTAGCCTATCATAGTTCTCCAAGATAGATAGATGATAGATAGATAGATAGATAGATAGATAGATAGATAGATAGATAGATAGATAGATAGATATAAAAAAATCTCTGGAATTAATCAAATTAAACAAAATGAAAACATACTTTTAATACTCTTGCTTACTCAAGTGAAAGAACAGTCACTTTCAAGCAATTCCTGCAAACTGTTTTTTTGGGTGGGGTGGAGTGCGGAAACAAAGACATCAGAGGAATATATCAAAAATGGAAATAGCAAAATTCCACCCTCATCCCAGTGGAATCTGCTTCACATAAGAAATTGGAAATAGCAATAGGACTTAGACTTATATATCGCTTCCCAGTGCTTTTACAGCCCTGTCTAAGAGGTTTATGGAGTCAGCCTCTTGCCCCAACAATCTGGCTCCTCATTTTACCCACATCAGAAGGACGGAAGGCTGAGTCAACCTGAAGCCAGTCAGGATCAAATTCCTGGCAGTGGGCAGAGTCAGCCTGCAATACCACATTCTAACCACTGTACACTGTGTTCCATGCCAGCAAAGATAGCAGTTGTTAATACAGGTAGTCCTCAACTTACAACAATTCATTTAGTGACCATTCAAAGTTACAACAACACTGCAAAAGATGAGTTATGATCATTTTTCACACTTACAACTGTTGCAGCATCCCCTTGGTCACACGATCAAAATTCAGGAGCTCGGTAAACTGACTCATACTTACAATGGTTGCAGACGAGTCATGGGATCACCTTTTACGACCTTCGGAAAAGCAAACTCAATAGGCAGATTAATTTAGGAACTCCTTAAGTTACTAACTTAATAAAGGCAGTGATTTACTTAACAACTGTGGCAAGAAAGGTAGTTAAATGAAGCAAAATTCACTTAACAACTGTCTCACTTAGCAACAGAAATTTTTGGCTCCATCGTGGTCATAAGTCAAGGGCTAGCTATTCTGTCCTTTGATTCAATTGTTGAATATAAAGACAGATAGATAACTCTACAAATTCTTCCATACAAAATTTCTTTTATTGGATTATATTAGGTATCCTCAAGGTAACTCACAGTTATGTCAAGATGCATCTAATGTCCAATTCTTTGCATAGTTGAAATCATAGTGTAAAATGATAGTAATCTTTCCATCCCATATTTCATCCCATAGTAGTGGAGCCAAAGGAGAGAGGCTAGCACGAAGCTAGGGTCCGAGCAAGAGTGAAGAAACCTCCCCCAAACCACCAAGGGTCAATTCAGTGACCAATCAGGGTTACAGATGTGGCCACATGACATGAACTACATTTCCCAGGATACCTTAACTACATTTACCATGATGCATTCCCTTAACGGGACAGCTCCCAATTCCTGACGAACTATACTAATTCCCATTAATTATAACTGGCTGGACAGCACACTAGCCGTACATATCAGACAAAAGAGTTGATGCTGAATGTACATGATAACTTTGAGCTTTAGCAAAAAGCCACTGGGCATCTCTGATTCCTTTTAATAAGTACCAGATCTCTCAAAGTCTAACTCTTAACAATTGTGGAAGTGCGTCACATTTTGTGTTCTTGCATTACAAAAAAAAGAACAAACCCCACTCATTTCAAAACCCCAACCCTTTTCTGCCTTTTGTTTCAGCCTCTCCAAGGTTATATCATCTCATTCCAGATGGTGAAATTACCAGCCTTAAGATCAACCGCAGGAATCCCCACGAACCTCTTGCCATTCGAGTCGTGGGGGGCAGCGAAACGCCTTTGATTCACATCATCGTTCAACACATCTATCGAGACGGCATCATTTTCAAAGATGGGAGGCTACTTCCGGGAGATATGATCTTGAAGGTAAAAGTTCACATAATGTTTTGACCAAGGCTTCCAAGACTGTAATTAAGCACACGCTTAGTTAAAACAACTCTTGTTTTATTTTAAGGCTGGGAATTATGTTCATTCCCAGCCTGTAATGAGTCCCAAACAGTCCCTCCAGATAAGCACCCACCCTTCTCTCCTTTGAATTGCTGCCAACAACAAAATGGACTATAAATAACCAACCGAAGTACAAAGTCCACACAGAGCTTCAAGGATTAATCCAAATAGAACGAATGACTTTGCTTCCTGCAAAGGTTTCTTTACCTGTGATAACCCAGGGTGTGGCACAAAGGCAACACCATCACATAAGTAAGAAAAGTCCCTTTAACACCTCCAACTTTGCCCCCAATGTCCAGTAACCTTCGGCTGGAGAAAAAACTCTCCCAGGAACTGCCTTTAAGTTAAAGAAATTTAGTCCGAAAACAAAGTACATATAAACTATAAATAAAAATCCACACAAACCACGCTGCTGCAATTAACCGGATAGGGCAGGAGAAGGAATTGCAGACATGAAAGGCCAGCAAAACACACACAGTTGGGAAGACGCCAGGAACCCAGATAAGCCTCAATGATACCAGATAATTCACGATTTGCTTCCAACAAGTTGCTGTGTGCAAACTCCCTTTTTAAACACTGTGTTCCCAGCTGCAGCTAATGAAGGGAATCAGGGCCCTTTCCTCCCCCATAAGCCACACAACTCACATTGCTCCCTTCTCCGTTCCTCCCTGCGTGTCCTAGGATGAAGAGGGGGTTCTGGATCTTCTTCTGAATTCCCTCTCCCTTGTTCTGCCTCTTCCCTGCTCTGCCCAGCCGGACTGTGCCCTTGCCCAGTTTCTTCCACAGCCAATGGAGCCACACTCCCACTCCCTGTCAGCTGCTCAGCCTCCCACTCCGAATCAGATTCTGACAGGGGCATGACATTACCTTTGCACCTCCTTTATACCTTAGGGGAGGGGCAATCCCCTCCAAGCCTTACTCCCAGGTCACCCCTTTTGTCTTAGCTGTTCTTGCCTTCTAGCAGCTCTGCACACACACGCACTGGGAATAGGCTCCCCTTGATCCTCTGCCTCGCTGCTGCCAGACTGTGGAGGCTTCAGAGTCAGCACCCCACTCCCAGATGGTCCTGGCTCCACCTCTGCATCGGATGCATGACCGTTGTCCAAGTGGCCCACATGGAGTTACGACCTTTTGCAGCATCCCCATGTTCACATGATCAAAATTTAGATGCTTGGCAACTGACTCGTACCTATGACCATTGCTGTATCCCAAAGTCATGGGATCAATGGGGAAACCAGATTCACCTAACAACCAGGTTACTTAACTTACCAGCTGCAGTGATTCACTTCACAACTGCAGCAAGGAAGGTGGGGCAAAACTCACTTAACAAATGTCTCACTTAATAACAGAAATTGGGCTCAATTGTAGTAATAAGTCGAGGACAGAAGAATAAACCCACTTTCTAGCACTGAAACATGAACACATTTCTTTAGGATTCGGGGGTTTAGAAACACTCCATCTTATCTCTGCCTCCCACATTATTGCTGAAATTTCTTTACATCTTTTTTTTTTCTTTAATTGCAGAGTAAAATAACTTTAGTTGCTGGGGAAAAGTTATGTTTGACAGAAACCTTCTCAGAGAGTTAATTGCTATACCATGAAACTGTATCGCTAGATCTTTTATTTATTTATTTTCTTAATAGCGTTGGAAGCACTAGCAAAGGTGGGGGCAAATATTCTAGCAAAACATATGAAAACAGCTTAAACAAATCTTGGGTATGAAATGTTTTGGTTGGGAGCCATTTCAACGGTACATGACTTCCCGAGCATTTAAACCCAAGACCATCTGCAAGGTAACACCCAGCCACTCAAGTAACAGCTCAACGAGATGTCCTGCCTGGAAACCATAAGAAGCACTCAAGAGTGATTTTCATTTAAATTTAGAAGGCTGGTAAGAGGTTCCCCTTTTTAATCCAAATAACATCGAGTTGAGTGATTACATGTGGATAGATATAGATCAGTGATGGAAAACCTTTTCATCATTGCATGCCAAAAGTGTGTGCATGTGCACCAGGGGTGGGATGCTACCGGTTCTGCCCGGTTCTATAGTGCCGGTAGCTCTGAAGAGCAGCAGACACAGAACCGGTTCTGTGTTTGCTGCTGTTTAGCCCACCTGCCCGCCTGGGCTCTTACCTGTCCTTTATTTCCTGCTTTTTCAACCTCAGCTGCTTTGCGCGGCACAACAGAGGTTGAAAAGCAGGGAAGAAGAGGCTTTCCAAACGCTGCGCACCTGCGCGCTGTGCTTTTCAGCTCTCCGGGTGGCACAGCCTAAGGTTGTGTTACATGCGCGTGCAGCGTGCGTCAGGTGCAAAACGTAGTCACCGAACCGGTAGTAACACCAGTTGAATCCCACCCCTGGTGCGCGTGCACGCACGCACACCTGCACCCATAATGCAATGTGTGCGTGACACCCCGTGCCCCCCTGCACATACATGCACATATCCCTTTGTGCCCCACCCCCACGCATGCACAGCAGATACTTGACAATCGGGTGGGATTCAAAAATTTTAAAAACCGGTTCTGTGGACGTGGCTTAGGTGGTGGGCGTGGCTTTGTAGTCATGTGACTGGGTGGACGTGGCTTGGTGGTCATGTGACTGGCTGGGCCTGGCCAACTCAATATCACTCACATCGAGGCACGCATCTCCTTGCCTGGTCTCTCATGACTGTGGGGATGCTGCAACAATCATTAGTGTGAAAAAGGGTCATCAGTCACTTTTTTCAGTGCCATTGTAACTTTGAATGGTCACTCCACACAAGCAAAGTACCAGCAAAGGAGGGGGAAAAAACTCCAGAGAAGTTCCTGAGACAGGAAGTCTAGTCCTGCCAAGAATGTAATAAGGGTTAACGGAGAGGCAGTTTCTGTAAGCAACACCAGAATGTTTCCTTCCTGCCTTCCTTACAGGATTAGGCCAGTAATTTCTTCTAACAGCCGGTTCTCTGAACTGCTTAGAATGTTAACAACCCGTTCTAGCGAATAGGTGCAAACTGGTAGAATCCCACCCCTGCTGACAATCAGCTGACTGGCAGGGGGCATACGTACATGCTCAGTGGATCTGTTCCCGGCGACAACTCACATGCCAGCAGAAATGGCTCTGTGTGCCACTTCTGGCACACATGCTATAGGTTTGCCATCATGCATATAGATTCTAGAGAAGAAATGGGACAGAAAACAACGTTCCTGCAGACCGGCAGTAAGCGCAGAGTATGATAAGCGAGGAACTGCTGGACTAGTCTAAGGAAAATGAAAATTGTATAAAGATTTGATTTTTCTTACAGAGTTGTCAAAATCTGGAATATCTTACCCGATTCACTTGTCTCAGCCACTAACTTCCCCAGTTTTAATTTTAACTTAACCTCTGTGTACCTTACCCCATGTTTATGAGATGTCCCTAAGGAAGCATGCATAACTGCACTAACATGCCTATCGTCTCTGTCACATTTTAATACTTTACCTAATCTTTAAAAATACTAATATTTTTCTCCTCTTGGATTTGTCATTCTCGTTTGAGGAGTAAACAAATAAAATTAAATTAAAAAACAGCCTTTCTAAGCAGCAAGACAGGAAAAAAGTTGTGAGGGAGGGGTGTTTAAGAGAGGATGCATTGTGATGGAAACTATCACTGCCACAAGAAGTCATCACACAACATGGTTGTGTGTAGTTCAGCCTCAGTTAGATAGAGTGGTGGTATTTGACCGGTTTGGCCCGGTTCGAGGGAAGCGGTAGTAAAAAATGCTACCATTCGGTCGAACCGGTAGTAAAAAAAACAGCTACTGGTTCAGCTGAACTAGTATTTCTTTTTTTTTCCCTCCTGATGATCAGCTGTTTTGACGGTCAGCTGTGCCGCCATCCCCTTCGCTGTCTTACTGCTTCACCCAGGAGGCTTCCCTGAGGCCCAGGAGGCAAAAAGGGGCGTGAGAGGGTCTGTGCGCCCCTCCCTGCATGCCGTATTTTGCCTCTTGGGCCTCAGGGAAGGCTTTGGAGCACGGGGGGTGTACTGCAAAAAAGAAGCCACGCCCACTCGGTCACATGGCCATGCCCACCTAGCCACTCCCACAGAACCGGTAGTAAAACTATTTGCATCCCAGCCCTGGTTAGAGATGACTGACCTCCAGTTCTGTCTTCTAGGTCAACGGCATAGATATCAGAAATGTGCCTCACGGCTATGCCTTGTTCGTCCTGAGGCAACCTTGTCAAGTTCTCCGTCTCACTGTGCTCAGAGAGCAAAGGTACCAGTGTGGGAATGCTGGACTTTTTCCTGAGGTTCCTTGCCACAGGGATGAGAATTTGCACATTATTCTGAACAAAAGCAACCCAGAGCAACAGCTGGGCATCAAGTTGATCCGTAAGGCCAACCAAGATGGAGTTTTTGTGTTCAACCTGCTGGAAGGAGGCCTTGCAGCCTGTGAGGGGGAACTTCGAGAGAACGATAAGGTTTTAGCCATTAACGGGCACGACCTACAGCACGCAAGTCCGGAATGCGCAGCCCAATTAATACAGGTAGGTTGAAACAGCTTCCTCAGAACAGCTCTGAGGAATGGGGTGAATGCTTGTTTGAGAGGAAGAATGCAAACCACCTGTGTCTGCAGAGAGAAAAAAGAAAGGGGTGGGTGGGGGAATCCTTGTTTTTATTGTTGCCACAACTTTATATTTATGCATTCAGATGGCATTTTCTTAAATCGGTTTAAAATCAATCTGGTACGAGCACAGCCGTTTTGTGAACGTGTCTGAAAATTGGAAATTCGCTTATGCAGCCAGTTAACTGGGGGAGGGGGGACTTCTCCATGTGTCCCAATATGCAGGCTAGCAAGAAGCAGGTTCACTTCAGCATTTCCAGGCAAACCAGGAGACAGACCCCAGATATCTTGCAGGAAACTGGCTGGGATTGCCATGGTAGCCATCTGCCCTTCCTTGCTGACAAGGTGAGCCATGCACTCCTCCTCCTCCTTATGGTTCATATCATGAAAGATATTTTATTTGATTTATTTATTTGATTTATTGCTTACAAGATAATAGGAATAAGTATAAACATGAGTAAGAATATAGGGAATAGAATAGAATAGAATAGAATAGAATAGAATAGAATAGAATACAATACAATACAATACAATACAATACAATACAATACAATACAATACAATACAATACAATACAATACAATACAATACAATTCTTTATTGGTCAAGTGTGATTGGATATACAAGGGATTTGTCTTGGTGCAAATGCTCTCAGTGTCCATAAAAGAAAAGATACATTCGTCTAGAGTCAAGGATCATCAGGTACAACACTTAATAATAGCCATAGGCACGGGTGGGATTCTACCAGTTTGCACCTATTCGCTAGAACCGGTTGTTAACATTCTAAGCAGTTCGGAGAACTGGTTGTTAGAAGAAATTACTGGCCTAATCCTGTAAGGAAGGCAGGAAGGAAACATTCTGGTGTTGCTTACAGAAAATGCCTCTCCGTTAACCCTTATTACATTCTTGGCAGGACTAGATTTCCTGTCTCAGGAACTTCTCTGGAGTTTTTTCCCCCTCCTTTGCTGGTACTTTGCTTGTGTGGAGTGACCATTCAAAGTTACAGTAGCACTGAAAAAAGTGACTTATGACCATTTTTCACACTTGCGACTGTTGCAGCATCCCCACAGTCATGAGATACCAGGCGAGGAGATGTGTGCCTCGATGTGAGTGATGTTGAGTTGGTCACACCCAGCCAATAACATGACCACCAAGCCATATCCACCCAGTCACATGACCACCAAGCCACGCCCACCACCTAAGCCATGCCCACAGAACCGGTTGTTAAAAAATTTGAATCCCACCCCTGGTCATAGGGTATAATAAGCAATCAAATCATACTAGGAAACAGTCAATATAAATCGTAAGGATACAAGCGACAAAGTTACAGTCATACAGTCACAAGTAAGAGGGGATGGGTGATAAGGACTGATGAGAAGATTAATAGTAATAGTCGTGCAGACTTTGTAAATAGTTGGACAGTGCTGAGGGAATTATTTGTTTAGCAGAGTAAATGGGGACAAAAGGACAGGAATGGTAGGCATGATGGTGCACTTATGCATGCCCCTTACAGACCTTTTAGGAATGGGGTGAGGTCAATAGTGGATAGTTTGAGGTTAAAGGAATTGGGGGTTAGAGGATGTAACAACAGAGTCAGGTAGTGCCTTCCAGACATTGACCACTCTGTAGCTGAAGTCATACTTTCTGCAATCAAGTTTGGAGTTACAAATGAGTAACAAAAAGTAATAAAATGGGTTCTGATGAGGTCTGACTAACATATTAATGTTTCTAATTGTCCCCTCTGGAAAGCATTGTCTGAAACAATGCATTTTAGTTTTGCAGTTGTTTATATACCTTGAGGAAGTACTATTGATTTCTGAATGAGGAGAAGGAAGAGCACAGCAGATGAGAAAGCAGAGCTGAAGAAAAAGGAAAAGCAAATTGTTCTGTTTCCCCCATTTTTACAGCATCTAAAGCAGGGGTCCCCAACCACCGGTCCCCGGACCGGTACTGGTCCGTGGATCATTTTTTACCGGCACGCAAAGCTTGGGCGCCGCCATCTTGTTTCGACGGCGCTTCCGGGTTTTCGGTTGCTTCCGGGTTTTCGGTTGGAAAGTGCTTCCGGGTTTTCAGTTGGAAAGCGGCGGTTCGTGCCTTAGTTTCGTCGAAGAGGGGGGGGCGGCTTCGAATGAAGAGCCATCCATATGGTGATGGAGTCTCGCGTTACTCAGGTACCGGTCCGTGGAAGAATAAATAATCGTGAAACTAGTCCCTGGTTCAAAAAAGGTTGGGGGCCACTGATCTAAAGGATGCCCTGTATCAACAGAAGCATGAAAAACTCAAATTCTTTAGTGTCCCTGTTACAGTCCCTATTTTGGGGTTCTAAATAATAATTCCAGTTAAAAGACTCCAGAGTTGGATCTTATACTACAGTTCCCAATACTAAATTCATTCTGGTATTTTAAGTGTGACAAATTGGGATGAGGTTGCAGTAGTAATCCAACTTGTGTAAGATTTCCTTGTCTGGTCTTCCCATTTTCCCTTTCAACAACGGAACACTGACACCTGCAATTATCTTTTTTTTTTTTTTACATAAAATCACTTTAAAACAAGATGTAGCATTACATCTCTTAGACAAATTTTAACTCTCAGTTTAGAGTTAGATTCTCTCTCTCTCTCTCTCTCTTTCTCTCTCTCTCTCCATCCATCCATCCATCCATCCATCCATCTATCATCTATCTATCTATCTATCTATCTATCTATCTATCTATCTATCTATC